GCCTTGGCAGTCTCAGGTAGATGTTTTATTATAGAAGGATTGTGACTGGTAGGTGTTTTATTATAGATGGATAGTGACTGGTAGGTGTTTTATTATAGATAGATAGTGGCTGCTAAGTATTTTATTATAGATAGATAATAGATGAAAGGTAATTTATTTCACCCAATGAAAGGCTCTTTTCTTTGCCTGTCTAAGCAATGATATGAATTTTACCTCACTTGCTCCAGTCTTTATACCCCACTATATCACCCCTATTCATTTTAATCTTGTGACTCTCTCCACCTATGTCAATGCACCCTTTATACCCGATCCATATATAAGCTCCCTGTTATTCTTTCTTATTCACATTTTCGAGACTAGCATGATTATCAAACCCAAACACCAGCTATCATGGGGACGAAGGGCAGGATAGTGTGAGGGAGGTAAGTATTATTGCAAACATATTTTCAGTATAGAAAAATGTAAACTTTCAAAACACACCTCCTCTCACTCTTTAACTAGAATCCCACATTAATTAGATGAAGGAGCTGGGGGAGAGCAAGATCCACACAGAAAGCACCTGCGTAGAAAAAAAAAAATAGGTGTGCAATATTCAGATATAATAAAGCACAGCAGTGGGGGTTTGCACTACTTCTGGAACAGATATGCTCTTACCCCAGATAAAGTGAAATATAAACACAGGTGGTAAAGGTCAACACTGTTCATTATCATGAGATTCGTCCAGGCCCCAACCACACAGATGAGGTTCCACATCTTGTCATTGGAATTATAGGGCTGTGAACTCCAAACTAGATCCAAATGTAGTGGCTAGGGCATGGAAACTGCAATATGATACAATTGTATAATAGAAATATGAGATGAAGGGAACCCAACCTGAAAGTTACAGGAGGTTGCAAATTGAGCCACCAGAATTACGAAGAGAAGGTAAGCCACATCTAAGTGAACAAACCCTCACCCCAATCTGAAAAAGTACAAAATGCAACAAACCCAATTTGGAATTATGGACCCAGGCACCGTAACTGAAAGTTGCAGAATGTCGCATGCAGGCCCCCAGTATTACAAAGGGAAGGCAAACAACATCCAACAGGACAAGTCTTTCCCCCAACCTGAAGAAGCTCAGAATTCAATAAACTGAACTTGGAATTATGGAGCCAATTCACACCTCACTCAAAATGAAGAAATAGAGATCATTTGGCCTGAGATTACAAACTGAAATCCTAACTCCACAACCTGGGAGGCAAGGTAACACCTCCTGCCCCCGGAATATCAGTGTGGTTTCAACAAGCTCATTCCCTCAGATGCCAACATGGCTAGGAATCCAGAAACAAATGGATGAATACAAATGAAAATTAAAAGTAGGACAGTTGTTTGTAAATATGAATGAGAATATACGTTATGTGAATCCAAGGCTATGTTACAAGCCATGCACAAGAAATGCTAAATGAGGAAGATTATAAACTCAAATAAGAAGCTGTAATGGCTGAAATATTGACCTCTGCACTAGTAAGGTAAAAGTGCCAACCATGGAGGTCTTCATTGGCATTCAAGTTGAATGAAACTGCTGGAAAAGAAAGTACAGTAGCTAGAAGAAACAAAAGATGGGGAATCAAAAAGACAATGCATAGCCAAAATGTCACTAGTAACATCAGTAAAGGAACCTCCTACGAGGCAGCCAGCCTCTACATGAGGATTAAGTGGCCAGGGGTGCAACCCCTGGAATTAGCACCTTGTGCTTGACTTTTAAATTGACAGAATATATATGAAAATTATCTACATGGAGGCTGTTTTGAAACTTCTGGAAGAAGCGATTTGGTAATGGCAATGATTTTAATGCTGAAAAGTTTGACAATCAAGGCAAAACCATGAGGTACTATTTACCTTTCAAATCTTGTTTGAGACAACCAGAGAACTGGTGGTGGAAGAAATGCTGGATATTAATTTGACCCAAGACTCCTTCTAGCTTTGATATCTGATCTGCCTGCATAAGCAGTCTGAAAAGTTATATTGTTTGTAAGAGTGAGATATCTGCCAAAAATAGCCCAGGCTCACTTCTGAGCTTGTCATACCTCTTGGCAGTCAGGGATCTACTATGGATGTAGCTACTGTGGAAACATATTAAAGTTTTAAGGATGATAGTAAGTACAGCTACCTGAACAATATGATCAGTTGCTGCTTCCACGTAGCTATAAATAGGTGATAGGTTAATAATGATAGGATCAGCTCCAAGAGTGTGGTGAAGAAGGGCTTGTTTGCCTTCGCCAGCTTCCATCATGCTCACAAGTTGATTGACATTCATTGTAGTTAATCAATACCCATAGATCACTGTCCATCTTCCAAGAAAAAACAAGGTAAGAAGAGAGACAGATTTATAACGTTAAATGCTTAATTACAAACACTGAAATAAGTGTTATCAAGAGAAAGTGGCCATGTCATATAACAGATGCTATTGATGACAAATTACAAGCATTGAAATAAGTGTTATCAAGAGGAATTGGTCACGTCATATAACAGATGCTCTGTAGAACTACCCCTTTAATCAATATTTCTACAATTTTGGAGTGGGGTGTATCAATGGCTGAAGTTTAATATACGCTAAATTAACACTATAGTCAGAGGCTTTGATAGTGGTAAATGTGATACTGTTGGCTGACACAATTAATAGAATATATTTTTAATTGTGCCAAAAAAAGTAATTTTTGTTTTTTACTTTTGATAACAGTAGCACAATGTGCTTAAAAATTACTGAGGTCTAATTATTAATAGTTACAGAATTTTTAATACTGATGATATTTAGTAGAAGAAAGAGAAACATATCAACACAACCCTCCTTGGCAATGTATACCCTGATCACCTCGTAAAAAATAAAAAAGACAAACACCACAAATAAGCAAAAAGAAATTTAGAGAAACAGCTATATCTTCCCCTATGTTCAAGGTCTCTAAAAACATACAGAGGATATATAAACAACATAAAAGCAGAACAGTATTCAGATGCCACAATACGATATGATTGCAGTAACTACACTCTAAATCTTCTATACGTCCCATAGAGCAAAAACATCATTTGCAACATCCTCTTGTGAGTGTGGATTCCAGTATAATTGAAAAAAACAACAATAAAATCTTGAATTCAGGAGCAAAATATACACACACACTATGTAACACTGGTCTATCTTCAGCAATTCACTAAATCAGACAAGAGCACAAGAGAAAGTGGAAAAAAAAGGAGACATAAACAACATGAAAAATACAAGAATCCTTCTACATGCATCTGACTGATAAAAACACTCTAATTAGCATAGAAGTTAACAAAAACCTGGAATCCCCTCCTTAAAATATTCAAATAGTTAATTAAAGCTGTAATGGGGAAGACTCCAGTCAAGTGGATAGTACACCACCCAGGATATAACAAGACCCAGGATCAAAAGGTAGCTCTTACCACCACAAACAGGTTTTTTTCTGGGACTTCCCTGAAGATGGTAGGAGATGAATGATTTAAAATTACAGAAAATTATTTTATGTGTATCAATAAAAAGAAGTGAAGGTAGTAAAAATACTTGAAAATAAATGGAAATTTACCTATTCAGACCTGTACTGTGCAGCATCAGTGTGATACATAATAAAATAAACATGTGGATTAAAATAATAATTCAGCATATGTCATCTCAGAATAGATATTGAAAAAATATATACATAAATTGCAATTTCAAAAGATTTTTTTATTAGACTTGTTTAGTTGTGCATCTAGTTCTCAAGTCACTTTTGTCTTAGTTTAGTAATCAAAATTAAATTTATTATACTACATGATTTACACACATGGAAAAAATATTTGTGATGTTAACTCAGAATAATCAAAGTCTTCACAAGAATGTTAAAATGACATTCTACAAGGATTCACTTTATGCCTGGAATAGGAAGCTCTAAACCTTCTTTCGCTTCAAAGAAAGTATATGACAATGTGATATCACTTACATTCTCCATTTTTGGGTCATCAATAAATTCAGGATCAATGTAGAAAAATACTGGCATATCTACCTGAGGATTGAAAATCATATTCTATAAATGAAAACAAAATATTATAGTATTTTACAAAATTTTATAAGGAAGATTAGTAAAACATATCAAAAAGTTCCACAGCCAAACGGAATAAATAGAGGAAGTTATTTTGTAAATTTTATATAAGGTTGTATTGTTTCCATAAACTACTTATCTCTGAGTCAAGTAGAGCAGCATTGCTAGGACAGTTCAATAGTCAAACAGTTCTGATGAAATTGTAACAGAATGGACTTATTTTATGCTGAATCCAGTGGTGTGCCAGGTTTCAAAAACAGTATCAAGATGAAGAAAATATTATCATTTTGTTAGAACCAATGCAAAGGAAATTTTACCACAAACCATGCTGTGCTAATGGGTAATTTGTCATATAATCTCTAATAAAAAGTCCACACTACCACGTTTAGGCTCTCTACTGTTATCTGCTTATACAATGTACAAGTTGAGTTGCTTAGACATAGTTTGATAGTTCATATGTCTGCCCCTCACTTAGAAGTCCAGGTCGCAAGATGCTCTACATGTTACAAATGTGGCTGATGTAGATGTAATCATAATAGAATAACAGTTACTGTGAATATAATCCATAAAAATGGTATACAGAAGGAGAACAGCTCTAAAAACTGCCTGCAGCTTTCTCTTAAACATGCAGATACAAAGCTAGATTGGATCATCATGAACCTACTGTTTGGATGGGCCAAATAAAAGTGACACATGCTTCCTAAGATAATGTAAAGGTAAAGTGGTGTATTTTAGACTATTATTGATCAGAAGAAAGTCATGACCAAGTTTGGGCCAAAAGAAAAGTATGACTGACCACTTGGTTTACTCAAAACAATACGGTAAACTGCTCCTCATATTGAGCCGAATACAAACCACTACTCTATACCCAATTTGTAGGGTTTCTTCATTTAGCCAATTCTCACCCACCTATCATATTTCTCAGATTTTCTCTACCTGACTCGAAGGTTCGGTGTTACTAAAAACAACTAACTTGATTTCAAAAATCAGTTATATTACATATTAGCTCATGAAGAAGCTACTGGAGTGAAACATTATACATACAGTATATGTTAAATGTCTGGAAATTATGGACCTAGAATAATTATTTAAAACATACATGTAGCAAATATTAACAGCATAGCTTAAGCTAGCATACCTACAGAAAACATTTAATTTTCTCACATGGTCAACATGTTTTATACTCCAGGTTTTTCCTAATTAAATGTCTTACAACCTATTTACATGTATGCCTTTCATTCCCAGATAAATTAAACAACTTGACAGATTTTAATGCTTAAGAAATAAAACAAAAACGATTAATTAAGAATAGAACTTGTTTCTTATCAATATGAGTACATCAAGACTGTCTCCAGTTGTATATAGAACTTGTTTCTTATCAATATGAGTACATCAAGACCTGTCTCCAGTTGTATATAG